CCACCCATCCATCCATCCATCCGTGCATCCGGTTTGCTGAGCACCTGCTGCAGGCAGGCTCCTCCAGCAACCCTAGGAAACACAGTGATAAGCCAGCTCCTGCCCTACGATGCTGCACAGCAGAGACGGGACGTTAGAGTCGGGGCTCTTGGGCTTTAGACCCACAACCCCTTATCCGCAATTCTGAAGCCAAAAACCTCAGAACATTGAAATCATTTTTGCAGCTCATGTGGTGGCTGCGTGCATGGAAGACTATTTTCTATCCCACTCAGAATGAAGACTCCTGCCCGTCTGTCAGTGTGCGGTATTGGGGTGGCTTGCGTATTGCTGTGATCTGGAAACTACGCTACTGGTATTTCAGATATCAGCAGTGTTGCCCTGGTGGACAGATCTCAGAGGAGACTAAGAAGACAGGTCTGGTGATCCACTTTTGAGTATTAGCCAGTGATAACCGTGTGGACACCAGCAGGACACTGTCTGAATCATCTGCTATGGACAAAATCATCATGAGTGATGAGGTAGGGAGTGAGGAAGACCATCCATGAGAAGGACCAGCACATTTGCCTCAGTGACGGACTCACGAGGATGACCAAGAACCAGGCACGACTGGCTCTGTTGTGCACAAGGTCACCATGTTGTCACCCTTGTGAGGGGCTGTCAACACTCAGCAGTGACCCTAAATACAACAGAAAGAAACCCTGCCCAATCCTGCTCCATCCTCACAACTATTGCTATGTTTGAGCCCACTGTGGCTGACACTGTGCCAATCCATCTCATTAGGGGTCTTCTTCTTTGCTGACCCTCCACTTTACCAAGCATGATGACCTACGCTCCAGGGACCAGCCCCTCCTGATAACACATCCAAAGTACATGAGGTTACCATGAGTTGGTGTCAACTCAGCAGTTGTCTGTCTGTCTAGAACGAAGACTCAGACATTTTGGTAGAGAAACAGTCATGTGATAGACTCTAGATGGTGCACCAAGCACAATGCTGTGTGCTGTCAGACACACTGTGTATCGAAAGGTCTGAATTCCAGGACACATCAGGCCCCAAGGGCTTCAGAGAAGGGTCTATGGGCATGTATGAAGGGTAACCAGACCGAATATGGCACAGGTGGCAGCTGGGATGCAGCAGAGCTGGGGGAGGGGTCCCCCACCGGGGCAAGAACTCACCGGAACGAGCCATCCAGGTTGGCACGGTGAATGAAGCTGAGTTTGGCATCGGCCCAGTACAGCTTCTGTTCTTCCAGGTCAATGGTTAAGCCGTTGGGCCAGTAAATGTCCGAATCCACAATGATTTTCCGGGTGCTGCCATCCATGCCTGCCCGCTCGATCCGGGGCGTCTCACCCCAATCTGTCCAGTACATGTACCTGGTGAGGATGGCAGGGCCAAGAGCAAGAAAAATTCACAGGCCTGCTTTCTGGATTTGTTTTCTGCTGACCCCACACCAAACACAGTAAAAAAATCAGGTCTAAAACCCCACCCAGGGAGGAAAACCAGAGTTTAGGGTTTGAGGTATCGCTTGAGATTTGTTCCTAGGCATTGAGTAATATGTCAATTGTTTTTTTTTTTTAATTAAATGTTTTTATTTTGGATTGAGTGAAAGTTTACAGGACACATCATCAGCTTCACATTCAACCATTCATATAGCTTGTTTCATTACATTGATTATTATCCCCTCCATATATCATCAGTTAACAGTGTTTCTCTCTATCCTCTTTAGCATTTTTTTTTTTTTTTGATGGGGGATTATGTCAATTTTTAAAGAACATTGTTGTTGTTGTTGTTGTGTTGTGGTCTGTGGAGTCGGTTCCTAATCATAGCCACCCAGTACAGTGTTTCTGAGGCTGTAAATCTTTACGGAAGCAGAAAGCCTCATTGACCACCCAAATTCAACTTGTTCTCATTTCACAGGACCAGGAGGCTTCAAAAAGAGCATGGAAAAATGGAATTAAAATAATGGAATTCTTCCACAAACATTTTGAAGACTCCATGTGTATTTCTGGACACCTCCCCTTTATCTTAGACTAGTATTAACCTTGTTTGCTATTTTATTTATTTATTCATTTATGTAAGCAATTGATGATGTTTTTAGAGCAGTTTGAGGTTTACGGAAAAATTGAACAAAGGGAACAGAAAACTCTGTATACACCCCGTCTTCCCCTGACATGGCGTCTCCTCGTACGTAGCATTCGTGTCATATACTGGTTACAACAGATGGCCCAATACAGATGCACTGTTCTTAACTCAAGTCCACAGTCATTCTTGTTAAATGCCCTTTGGTTCCTACTCAGAGAAACTCTGCATAGGGCTTCCAAGGAGTGACTGGTGGGTTTGAACTGCCGACCTTTTGGCTAGCAGTCAAGTGCTTATCCTGCAGCGCCACACCAGGACTCATACTGTTGTTGTTGTTGAGTGCCGTCGAGTCGATTCCGACCCATAGCGACCCTGTATAGGGTTTCCAAGGAGCAGCTGGTAAATTTGAACCACCGACCTTGCAGTTCAAACTGACCTTGTCATCCAGTGCTTTTATCCCACAGCACCACCGGAAGTCCTGGTGGTACACTGTTTAAGTGCTCAGTTGCTAACTGGAAGGCAGGCGGTTTGAATCCACCAGCTGCTCCAGAATGGAAAGATGTGCCAGTCTGTTCCTATCAATAGTTGTTGTTGTAGTTGTTATGAAGTGCCATTGAGTAGGCTCCGAACCACAGCAACCCCGTACAGGGTTTTCTAGTAGCAGCTGGTGAGCTTGAACTGCCAACCTTGCAGTTCAAACAGCTTTGCAGTGTGGTGCATTAATCCATAGTGCCATAGCCTCGGAAATCCTATAGGGCAGTTCTGCTCCGTCCTATAGCGTCGCTAGGCATTGTAATCGGACAACAACAAAGTTGGCTACTAGCTTATATGACTGTTCACTGTGTAGTACGATCCTGTGAGTCTGAGAAATACATGACTTTGTATAGCTACGATTACAACATCATACAGAATAATTTTACTATCTTTAAAATATCCCATGATCCACTTAATCATACCCAGAGCCCCTGGCAACCACTGATCTTTTTACTATCATGATTAGATTTTTTAAAACTTTTTATTGTGAATTGAGTGAAGGTTTACAGAGCAGATCATCAGTTTTACATTCAACCAGTCACATACTTTGCTACATTATAATGACTGCAATCTCCTCTGGGGACCAGCAGTTCACACTATTTACCCCCCTCCCCTCTTCACTTTAACTCTTACAGTCCCACCTTTGAGAAAAAGAGGAAGACCCCCAGCAAGATGGACTGGCAATATGGCAGCATCAGTGGGCTCAATCAAGCATGGAAACAATTGTGAGGCTGGTCCAGGACCGGGCAGTGTTTCATTTTGTTGTGTGTAGGGTCGCTATGAGTCGGTACTGACTCAATGACACCTAACAACAACAACAACCGTCATCTTTCCCCTGCTAGCCTCCCTCTTGTTGTACATCACCTGCATACACAGACGTAACCATGACAGCAATTACCCTGGGCAGTGGGCTTGTGCCAGGGGGCCGAGGGGGGCTTCCTTTCACTTAAGCAGGGTCTCACATTTTTAATGAGGAACATGACTCCCACGTCCACGTTAAAGGACCCAGAGCCTCTCTGTTTTGATCTATTGTCAACAGACCAGGACAGAGTGAATGGAGAAAACATGTGACATGTGAGGGCACAGGTATCTGGGAGGCAGGTTCCACCTGCTGTCCATGCCCTGGAACCAGACCCGATCCTCCATCCTCCACCGGCCAGGCCCTGCAATGTGTGGCTGGAGGTTGCTGGCCAGGCCTGCAGGGACAGAGGAGAAGCCACCAGCCAACGTGGCTCAAGCTGCAGGTTCTCATTTCAATTCCGTCCCAAGAGGCAGCCAACCTATTTGATCTTCTCTGCAGAAAAGGGGGTGGTGCCTGCTCTTCCCTGGAGGGGCACCCTCCTCCCTTTCTCCCACAGTCTCACTGCCATCAGGAACCTGAGGCTGAAAAAGGCTGACCTGCCTGGGTCATGACACTTCGTGACAGCCCAGAAGCAGTGTGGGGTGAGTGTGACAGCCTGGCACATGATGTCTGTCTTCGTCAGGGTGTCATGGGTGTCCCCTGACAGCCCAGGGCCCACAGCCTGCCTACCAGCCCCAAACCCTCCGAACTGCAATCCGACAAAGTAGCAAGAGAACAAGACCCCACTGAGAGCCACACATGCCCTCCACGATGGCTCCTGTGGCCAGCGGGAAAGGTCAGGGCCCCCCCTCGCAGAGCATAACTCAAATTCCTTCCTCGTGTTTCATAACAGAGGTCGAGGCTCTCCTTAAATGGGAGGCTGCGAACCAGCCCGGGAGCAGTGGCCAGCTGGCGTGGACGTGCTCTCTAGAGCAGAGACGGAGCCGTGGGCCCGGCCAAGTTCCATGGAGGAAATCCACTTCCGAAAAATAGCTGCCTCCTGGAATTCATGCAGAGGGCTGGTCGTGGTTAGGGTTGCTTGTTATTTTAGGGAAGGGACATTTTGCTTTTTGAAGGGGGGGGGTGGGGTTTCACTCTGGCTTTCATTGGTACCCCAAGAGCAACTGCAGCTCCGGCAAGGCTGTGTGAGGCTCCGGGTCATCCCCAACATTGGCCCTGCGCCACCACCTGGGCACCCTGATACCCTCCCCAGCCAGCAAGCAGGCTCTCTGCTGTCCACACTGCTGAGGCTGCACCCGGTGGAGGCCACTGGGCAGTGGTCACACACTGGAACCCTGTTTCCTAGCAGTGGCTTGGGAGGGATCCCTGTGGGGGACAGCAGAGGAAGATATGCCAATTCCCTGTAAGCCCCCTGCGGCTAGGAGGAGAGACAAACTTCCTCTCCATTATCCCACTTACGACTCACAGAGCTCGCCAAGAGTGCCCCATGGCCATCGTCCAGTTAGGGGTCAGCATGAATGGGGATGAGACACACCAACAGACATGCATAGATATACACACAGACAGACACAACACACAGACACAGACGACACATGTGTAGACAAACAGAGCTACAACACATGCAATACAGAGACACACACACACACACACCACACACAAGGGGGCTTCAAAAAGTTCGTGGAAAGTTATGGGGTTAAACTTTGTATTTTCTTTCTTATAGAAGCTTCTAAAAAGGTATTTTTACATGTTTTGTTTTTTTTTTTTAACAAATATTGTGTACAACCTTTAAAACATCCATGTTTGGATCAAAGCAAGACCCAGCTTCTTTTCTGCTTGGTGTAAATTAAGCAAACATGCTATAATCAAAACAAAACGAAGGGAAAGAAAAAAAAAAGATTGCGGAAAAATTCCAGGATCTTTTAATCCCATTTTCCATTAACTTTTGAACCCCCATATATACAGAGGCACACACACAGACATATACACACATATATTATACACATGGACACACATACAGATGTACACACCCACTCAAACTCGGATGGCCAGCTGGGGTCTCAGAAGGCAGGGAGCAGGAAACTCCCAAACACAGCCACACTGGAGTGAATCTGGGGACCAGTGTTCACGTCATCACCTCCATGCAAGGTAGTGACTAGGAGACTAGGCACCACCATGTTCCCATTCGGGTCTATCAGACCGGGGAGGGTATTTCCACCCAAGTCAGCCTCACTGCAGGGGTGTGGTCCTGGGGAACATTCAGAGGCTGGAGCAAAATGGCTCCATTTCAAATATTTAATAAGAAAACCCTCAATCCAAACCCACTGCCGTTAGATCGATTCCAACTCAGAGCAACCCCACAGGACAGTTTCCTGTGCTGAAAGCTTCACAGGAGAAGATTGCTAGGTTTTGTTTAGTTTTTTTCCTGCTGAGCTGCTGGTAGGTTCAAACCACCAACTTTAGTTCACACGGTCCACTTAACCGCTGCGCCACCAGGGCGTCTCTAAGAAAAGCCAGGGCCCAACAGAGGCCGCACTGCCTGATGATGGCAGGCAGAGCCCTCGGGAGAGTGGACGGGAGAGACAAAGTTGTGCGCAGACACAGTGCGTGCGGGTTTCAAGCGGAGGCGGGAGGCATTTTTATTATAACAACATCAACATTTATTGTGCTCTCCCCACTGCTTGCAAAGTTCATCTCCCAAACAGCCACAGCCTTCACTTCACTCTGCTTCAGATCTCTGCTCAAAATTCAGCCAGAGGCCAGCCCAGATTCCTGACCTACAATCGGAAGCCCCGTGCCCTGCCTTCCCACCCTGACTCATTCTCCTCCAAGGTACGCCACTCAAGGGCATGGCCTCCACCTCCCTGCTAATTCATACACGGTGTCTGCCCCAGTACATCGTATGAATCACGAGGGCGGAGACACGGCCATACCTCCAACATCTAACACACAGTTCCCGAGGCTGTTAACTCCATTCTGACTTACTGCCCCCTAGTGAATGCTCAGGGCCAAGGGGCCCCACGAAGCACTTTGGGAGCCAGCAGGAGAAACAAGCCACTTGATCCTCATTTCCCCAAGAGTATCCCATTTCCAGACAGGCAGGTCACTAGCTCTGCCCGCCCATCTCCAACCATGCAGTTAGGAAGCGCATGTCTGAGTGCAGTGTGAATTTCACCTCCACAAATATAAGAAAAACTGGGAGGTAGGTGCAAACGTCCACCTGTGGGTGAGTCTTGCTCATCACATATGCATTAAGACAGCCAATACCTTAGCCTAGACGGCTACCTCAGGTGCCTCAGATGTGGTGGCAAGGTTGGCAGTGAAACACAGTGACAAGGCACTGGGGGGCTGCGAGCTGATGCTACTGAGGGTGGGGCAACTCAGAGAAGGTGAGATGGGCAGATGACCAATAATGGGCTCATTCTCACTGCGCTGTAAACGCAGAACTATTGAATTGGTGGTGTGTTCTGATGTGAACATTCCCAACAGCAATAACAAAATGAATTTTTAAAAATGAAGCATAGAATATCGAAGGAAAATCATTCTTGACAGCATCACATTTGGAAAGGTGAGTTCATCTCAAGATTGCCACGTTTTTGGAGAAAAATGAACAGGAGCTGTAACAAATTCAAAAGGGGACCCAGGGCCTCCCATGCTTCCCACACCCCACCCAGGGGACCTGTGACAGAGGGGCCTTGACTCACCCGTGGGCGGGGTCCAGCGCGATGGCCCGCGGCTGGTCCAGATCCTGCCAGAAGAGCACTTTACGTGACGTCCCATTGAGGTTGGCCACCTCGATGCGGTTGGTCTCCGAGTCCGTCCAGTACAGCTTCTTACCGACCCAGTCGCAGGCCAGGCCATCGGGAGAGACCAGGCCCGAGATGACCACGTTCTGCACAGTGGCCCCCGTCTGATTCAGGAAAGTCTGCTTAATAGCCTCCTCGCTCACGTCTGTCCAGTACACAGCTCCCTTGGAGAACTGGAAGTCCACGGCGGCCGCGTCCTCCAGTCCACTGACCACGATGATGGATTCCAGCTTGACACCACCAGCGTCCACCAGCCGCACATCCCGACGGTTAGCAAACAGCAGGAGAGGTGAGGCTGTGGGGGTACAGGGCATGTTGAGAACACCAGTCATGCCATTCTGGGTACTGCTCACCCACCCAACTGTCCACTCCCCAAGACGTTGCCAGGAAGTTGGCCCTCAGGGATCACACCGAGCACACTCAAGGGCTCCCCAAACACGGCAGACCCTCTGATTATTTGCTAAAGTCACCATGGTCACCATCTGTTATAACTCATACCCAAGCAGATCAATCCCTCCCTGAGACCAGGGCGGAATGTATCATCTCTCCTCACAATGGGGACAGGGAGGGCAGTCCTGGCCATACAGGCGGGCAGAGGCCAAGCCAAGGGGTGAGGCTTTGAGAGGTGTGTCCGAGCCACCGGTCAAACACAGCTTCCAGATTCCTGACCACTGGCCACTCTCACACAGCCCTGGTGATGCAGTGGTTAAGCACTCAGCAACTAATGGAAGGCTGGCGGATTGAACTCCCAGCCGTTCCAAGGGACAAAGATGTGGCAGTGGTGTCTATAAAGACGACAGACTTGGAAACCCGGTGGGGCAGTTCTGCTCTGTCCTTGAGAGTGGTTATGAGTCAGTGCCGACTGGACACAATGATATGGTCAGGTCTCTCTCAGGAACCGTGGTGATGCAGTGGTTAAGTGCTTGACTGCTAACTGGAAGGTCAGAGGTTTGAACCCACCAATCAATATGAAGGAAAAAGATGCAGCATTCACTCCTGTAGAGACGGCCGTTTTGGTTGTGTGCCGTTGACTCAGTTCTGACTCATGGGGCTTCCTAGAGGGACTGGTGGGCTTGACCTGCTGACCTTGTGGTTTGTAATCCAGCACTTATCCTACAGCGTCACCCAAAGGCTTTCTATGGAGAAGACAACCTTGGGAACCCTATGGGGCAGTTCTACTCGGGACTGTGGGGTGGTCATGAGTCAGAACAACTCAATCACAACGGGATGTGTGTGTCCGAACTCAGGCCCCTCACCCCTTCTCTACCCCAACCCTAACCTTAGTCACTACCTACAATGAACAATCTTCACGGATCACTCTGGAGTGCTCCTCCTCAACTCAAATACCTTCAATAGCTCCCTGTGCCACTGCCCAGCCGCTTACCTCACCCTCTCCTCTCTACCCCACATCCCTGCACCGAACTGTTTTCACCCACCCACCCGAACAGCGCAGGCCCCTCAGCCTTTCTGAGTTCCCACCCAAACAGAGCAGGGATCTTGCTTCCACAAATGAGAACTCAAATGGGCCTTGAGCCCATCACCCTACAGGACACCATCAGACCTCATCCCAAGACAGTCCAGTAAGCACCCTCCCCCAAGTCAATGAAGAGGTGAGGACTGGAGAGGCCCAGGTGTGCCCCTGGGATTCCAGACCAGCAGGACGGGGAGGCTCTTCACCAGCCTGACCAAAGCAGCAAGACCAGAGCTGTCCCATGATGGGGCCCAGGTCACCACTGCCCAGGACAGAACCACTGGCTGAAGCGTGGTCAGTGTGGCTGAGAAACTGAGGGCTTAGGTCCATTCACAGCAATTAATTCACATTTAAATACCCACTTACATACAGTAATGGATCCCTGGGTGACTCAACAGGGTTTGTGCTCAACTGCTAACCTAAACATGGGTAATTCGAACCCACCAGTGCACTGAGCAAGAAAGGTCTGATGATCTGCTCCCACAATGATTATGGCCAAGAAAACCCTACAGCGCAGTTCTAATCTGTAACATATAGGATCGCCACGAGTCAGAATCAGCTCGATGGCAATGTGTTGGGCGGTTTTGGCAAGGTATTGGCAACTCATGGAGTCCTGGTGTGACGCTGTGGGCTAATGCGTCAGACTGCAAAGTCATTAGAACTGCAAGGTCGGCGGTTCAAGCTCACCACCTTTCACAATTAAACTGTAAAAACCAACCAACGGATGTTACCAGTGCAGCTGGGCTGGGCACCTGACTCTCAACAAGGAACTAGTCATAGCAGAGGCCATCTGTCCCCAAGCTCTGCCCTCCCAGCCCCCAGCAGGTCCAGAGAGATACTGTTGTTGTGTTTAGGTGCCATGAAGTTGGTACCGACCCACAGCGACCTTATGCACAGCAGAACATTGCCCGATCCTGGGCCAACCTCACTCCTGTTGTCACACTTGAGCCCATCAATGCTGCCACTTGGCCAGTCCATCTCACTGGGGGTCTTCCTCTTTTTCTCTGACCCTCCACCTTACCAAACATGATATCCTTCTCCAGTGACTGGTCCCTACTGACAATATGTCCCAAGTATGACAGACCAAGTTTGGCCATCTTGGCCTCCAAGGAGCACTCTGGCTGCACTTCTTCCAAAACGGATCTCTTGGTTCTTTTGGCAGTCCATGGCACTTTCAATATTCTCCTCCAACACCATAACTCAAAAGCATCAATTTTTCTACAGTCTTCCTTATTCACTGTCCAGCTTTCACATGCATATGAGGTTATTGAAAATACCATGTGCATGGCTTGAGTCAGGAGCACCTTAGTCCTCAAGCTGACATCTTTGCTCTTCAGCACTTTAAAAAGGTCTTGTGCAGCAGATTTGCCCAGTGCAATACATCGTCTGATCTCTTGACTGCTGCTTCTGTGAGTGTTGATAGTTGATCCAAGAAGAATGAAGTCCTTGACAACTTCAATCTTTTCTCCATTGATAAGAATGTTTATTGATCCAGTGGTGAGGATTTTTGTTTTCTTGACATTGAGATGTAATCCATACCGAAGGCTGTGCTCTTTGATCTTCATCATCAGTAAATGTTTTAAGTCCCCTTCACTTTCAGCAAGCAAGGTTATATCATCTGCATATTGCAGGTTGTTAATGAGTCTTCCTTCAATCACGATGCCATGTTTTTCTTCATAGAACCCAGCTTCTCGGATTATTTGCTCAGCATACAGATTGAATAAGAATACAACCTTGTCACACACCTTTTAAAATTTTAAACCATTCAGTGTTCCCATGTTCTGTTCGAACAACTACTTCTTGGTCCAGGTAGATTCCTCATGAGCACAATTAAGTGTTCCGGAATACTCCTACTTGGCAATGTTGTCCATACAATCGAAAGCCTTTGCGTAGTCAATAAAGCACAGGTAAACATCTTTCTGGTACTCTCTGCTTTCAGCCAAGAGCCATCGGACATCAGCAATGATATCCCTTGTTCCACGGCCTCTTCTGAATCCGGCTTGAACCTCTGGAAGTTCTCTGTCAATATATGCTTGTAGCCATTTCTGTGTTACTTTTAGTAAAACTTTACTCACATGGGATATCAAAGAGATTGTCTGATGATTTCCACATTCCGTTGGGTCACCTCTCTTTGGAATGGGCACAAATATGGATCTCTTTCGAGATACTAAGGGAGGCTTTTAAAGCTCACCATTTACATTTTCTGATGGTTCTTCGCTGTCCACGCCCATGACCCGCCTCGTTCTATAAACGCTTGGGCTGAGAGTATAATTATTCCCATTTCACAGAAGGGAAAGTGAGGCTCAAGAAGGAGATCCCTGGGAACCAAAGACTCCAGTGATGGAACATGTGCAAGTTCCCCACCGCCAGGTGGTGACTACAGATACGGGACAAGACTAATTAGGTATGAATGCCACTGGCCCAGTGTCCAGGTAATGCAGTGTGCTTGACTGCTCACTGAAAGGTTGAAGGGTCAAGTCTACCTGGAAGCACCTCGGAAGCAAGGCCTGGCCATCTCTTTCTTGAAAAGTCACTGGTAACCCTATGGACTGTAGTTCCAGTCGGACACACACGGGGGCTCCTAGAGTCAAAGTTGGCTTAGCAACAACTGGCAAACTAGACTTACAGGCCCAGTGACTTCAAGGCTGGACAGGGCGGTGAACTTGGGGTCCCAGCAGCCAGTGGAAGGCACCCCGAGCAAGAACTCAGGAAGCCCTTCCTACCCCACAGCAATGAGAGGTCACAAAGGGGGCTGGGTGAGGGGAGGGAGACAGAGAAGCTGCCTCCAGACACAAACACCCTGCACTTGGCTCCGTTCTTTCCCCCAAACTGGAAAGACGACATTTTCTCCTTGGCAGTCCAGGTGCAGAGGTACGGGTGTTTTTAAATGTCCGGTGCTTTTCCCAAACTGAGATGTCATGGGGGAGGCAGGCAGGTTTCCCATAGGTGGATGGACAGACAGACATGGCCAGGGTGGGCAAGGATCTTCAATGGAGAGCATCAGACTCCCCCGCAAGTCTCACTGCTGAGTACCCAGTTCTCGTGGTGGCCCTGAGGGCTGCACAAGGGAACCACCTCTGCCTGGGTGGCTCCCCAGTCCCACAATAGCTGGCACAAGCCGCATTGATACCCCGACCTATGTACCCCTGACAGCCACAGCACAGCCCTTCCCTGAGGGTGGAAGAAGCTAGGAGCAGCAGTTAGCGGCTCTGGAAGGAAGTCGGGGGAAGAAAAAAGAGGAGAAAGATAGACACAAAGGGCATCAAGCAGGAAGTCTGCTATTGAATTTCTGTTTGAAAATTTTTGGACGTGAATAGTGGTCACGGTTATCTAACAGGAACATAATTATTGTCGCTGCACTATACATGTAAAAAATGGTCAGCATGGTACATTTTTTGTTATATCTATTTCACCACAACTTTCAAAAGGAACAAAGCATCTCCTTACCAGGAGAGGAGACTTGGATGGTGCCCAGCTACCATTGTTGTTGTTAAGTGCCGTCGAGTCGTTTCCGACCCATAGCGACCCTGTGTAGGGTTTCCAAGGAGCAGCTGGTAAACTTGAACTGCCGACTTTGCAGTTCAAGCTGATTTTGCAGTCTGGTGCATTAACCCACAGCGCCACACCAGGACTCCCCACCTAGCATTACTGAACAATAAAATCACTAATTCTACAGAAAAACGCTGGTCAAAAGGTGAGAACAGGTGGAACAGAATTTCAAATTCCCATGGACGCCAAACTTTTTGGAGTTATGGAAGCTGGATGAGCCCTTGAAACTATTGCCCTACAATAATATCTAAACCTTAAACCAAAAATATCTCCTGGCATCCATCATC